ACCCTGTGTGATATAACCCTTAAGCTTTCACAATGTTTTTATTCCAAGAGATCTGTTATAAATTCATGAATGACATTTCTCACTTTTAACAAAAGCGTCTAGATATTCTTTTTATTTTCTTATAAAAAAAGTTAAAGTTAATGATGCAAAAGTATCATTGTTCGTGATATCGAGCATTTCTCTTTATATATTTAATATTTTTCACACACATAAGTCTGTAAAGTTCATATATATATAAATATACTCGTTTAAAAAAATCATCTAATCTTAACCCTCACCCACTTCATCCTGATTATTTCATATTGATATTCAAAGTAAAATTACCTAATGTTCATTACACTAATATTGTAAGCAATGTTATAAAAAGAAAGTGTTATTAAAATATACGTTGAAGTAAAGTGAAAATTGTACCGCAGAAAATTTATTACGAAGTAAATAATTCTCGCAGATGTTAAGCTGATTATGAAAGCGTTGAATAAATATTCCTCGGAAAATAGTTAAAATCTGTGCTTCAGTTACTTAATTTCTTTATTACTTGTATATCTTTTTAGCATACTCTATTTAACACTTAAAATTAAACGTTGTGTATCCGAGGTATCTTTCTTTATAATTGATAAAAGTTAGTGAATATATCATCAGTTATTGATAAAGATACTTTTCAGATAAAAACATAATTTACGCCTTTATTTTTGATATCCTGGTACTCCTGTTAACTCTACTAAACTAGACTACTAAAGTTCTAGACTTTCTTAGATAAACACTATCAAGTAAACATAAACGGAGACAGTAAACACCGTAGCGTCAACGTTTGCCGCAGAGTAGCGCATATTATTTTATTTCTCTTTGCTGCTATGGTGTTAAAGTCCTGCGGTAACGTTAAGTATCAAAATAAACACGTTATATGATAAGGTTAATTATTATTTTATCTTCGAGTTGAAAAATTATGTTGAAGCATATGTTCGGTTCGTTTATTTTTGGTACAACTTGAAATTCTTCTTCAGTACATTAAAGATAAGTGATATAAATAATTTTAAGTGTTATTAGAACTAGATAAATTATCGAATTTCGTCGATAACAAAAATAAATATAGTGTTACTTTACTAATACTTACCTAAAGACCGAATTTACTTACCAAAAAGGGTTCCAACATTGTTGCCAACGGATCGTTCGATGGCTCCATCGGACAAGGTATTGATACAGGCACTCAATGCGCGGGCGCAAGCACTCGTACCAATCTGTGAAAACGATACCGAATCAAAAAAAAGGACCAGTGTTTTGAAATATTTAGCTTCAAACTCTTGTTGTAGATCTATTGCACATAAATTTAATAATAAAGTTACGAAAAAGGATAGTTTATAAATCAACTATCCTTTTGCGTAACTTTATACCCTAGGAGATATTCCGTTCGCAATAAAAACCTCTCTTATTACATATATTTTACTTATTTCACGACCATTTTTATTTTTAGTTTCCTCAACACTCAGAAGAATCTATAAATACTGAAGAATTCCTTCAACTTGTCTACATGAAAAAGAATGGAATAATGGGCCAGTCTCATCACTCTCTGATAGAGGATCTGGGTGTGAGAGTCAGTTTTACCACGTGCAGATAAATGATTCAAATAGTCTAAATATAACGTATCGTCAAAATTTCAGTTCCACAGGGTCGTGTTAAGAAAAAATAGCAGTCATATGCTCTGAAAATTTTATGGCTAGATCAAGTGCCCGTTGTTTTTACAAGCGATATAAGAAAACTATTATGAACTTTTGAGTACTAATACTAACAACGTTTTGGTGAAAATAGATCTTGTTGAGTTTTTAGAACAAATAATACGTCTCCGCTAACACCCGGTAGTAAGAAATTAATAATTTAACTGAATAAGGTGATGGGCTATATTTTATCTCACAAAGTCAGTGGTTGATTTTTATTATTTTACATTTTTGGGCTTACTCAAGCGTGGCAGTAGGGGTGCACCTCATCAAGTCCCACTACACATGAAACCACCCAACATAATGACTACACCCGCCATTTTGATTCTAGTCAATCACAGTAAACACTTAATTCCTCTAAACAGAGGAGTTGAGTATCTAATCAGCTCTTAACGCGCAACAGATCCTGTAGAGAGTTCCATGTGTGGTAAGAGTACTTGACGTAACAAATGCTTTCACCAGCGCCAAGTATAGTAACACATGGAGGTAACCTTGCTCTTCAGCACATTACGATGCAAGTTTTCCCCTATGTTATAGTGCCACGATTGTCTAAATCTCAAAATACCCGTTTGACTCCCCTACTGTACAGAAGGGAGATGTACGAAAAAGAAACAAAATTTTAATGCTATCCTTTTTATTCTGTTTTTTTTTATTTGTTTGAAGAAAAGAAAACATGTTATTTTCCACTAAGAGAAAATATATTAGTACGGGTGCGATGTTGCCGCTTCGACTTCTTACTACTTCTTTTTGAAGGTGCATATTGACTGCCATTACGCAGCGTAATTTAAAATGATAGACGGCGCGCATTTATGCATTACTGAATGCGTAGAGTTACGGGGTAACGGTCGCCACGGTCAGTACGCACCTTTATTGCAAATAATAAGGTATATCATTTCTCGGAGATGTGATCGGTGAAACAAATAATTAAAAATCGAACATATTTATCCACCCATATATTTTTGACGGTTGCTAGATATCAAACAATATACATGAAGTTGGTGAGATAGGCCCTTGATGTTTTACAATACATCTAACTAACCACATATTCGAGGACCATATTCCAGCCGACCACGAAAGCAACAAATTCTCCAACCGTGACGTAGGAGTACATGTATGCAGACCCGGTGGTGTTGGGCACGCGTACTCCAAACTCGGCGTAGCAGACACCTACAGACAAAAATATTAGTTACGGCAAGGGTATTTTTATGTCGGACTCTACCGATAGAGTCGTCCTCTTCGTTTAAAAACTATTATATTTATATAGTATTGTTATTTGCATATAACATCTATTTATATACATTTATTATTTGTAAACAAATGAATACATAGTTTCTTTCTTTAAGACAATTTTTTATGGTCAAAGATACTTGGAGGTAATCACATAAAATCTAAAATATTTTTACTATCTATGTGTACTATATTTGCTTATTAATAAAACAGAAATATTTTAAAATATAAGTGTAGACTACTACTACTAGTGCGTACTAGACTATCAAATGTAAATTGCTATAATTTTACGATAGGAAATGTCATTTCTATATTACTGGCGATGTTTCCGTTACAGTTTTGCATGTTTCCTTTCCTATGAAATCAATCAATAAACGTTTCTTCGACTTCTCCCAACAATATTTTCATTTCTATACTTATTTCTATTTCTTTTTCCTGGATTTTAGGTCCGGATTTTTTCAGAATGAGCACTGGATACTTTGAGTCCTTGGGTTGTCGTCATATGCACATATAGGAACAAAGTAGATTGATCGAATACTTGAATTGTTGCAAGTATTCGAGGAAGCCACTAAGTTCCGATCATGCCTTTATATCCATTTCTATGTTCACGGTAACTGTATCACGCTTCGGCTGTTCTATTATTATCACTAATCTTCTTTCTTTTGTCTTCATTCAAATCCTGCCGTAAATGAGGTTTAACCAATCAAAATGATCATTTGCCATATACTCTATATTAGTTCTTTAAGACTTTCCAATTTTGTGCGTCCTTTTATTCCCATGTTTATGCGCATGGTTTACAAAGCTTGTAAAATTCGTTCAAAGTTGGTACTCTTAAGTCTTCCTGCAGCTATGTTAGTTAAAGATAAATAAACCTAATTACTTATACCATTGGATCTTCATTAACTAGACTTTAATGTAGTGGATATCTGGATTAATGGTAAAATATTGAATGTAAAAAAATAAAGTGAATGAGAAAAAGAGTTCTAAATTAGAGAGTAGTAGAGTTTGAAAATTAATTTTGGCAATTTTAGAGCTTTTCACTGAAATGCGTGTTTTATTAATATGCCAATGAAATACCACTTGTTTGCTTATTGACTTTGTAACTGATGTTAAATTGCATTTACTATGAATAACGTGGACGGCATTATTTCCATCTCCATTTACATAAATTGAAACAGTCTTATTTCCGTTCCGTTCTACGCAGATATACATACACATATTTTATTAAATTCTAAATGGCAATTCTTTCAATCGATACACTTGTTATTGAGACACAAAAGCCAGAGAATTCTTTTGTAGTCACTAATTCAAGGAATCTTTTCGATGTAGAGATAAAGCCTTTGTTCTCGTGTCAGTTTTTGGTATAACACCAAAATAAAAAAAGAAAATAAATAAAAATCCTAATAATTACCCATACCTTCTTATATATTAACTAAAAACCACACTTTTAAATTTGTATAGGTTTTATAATGTTTATAATTCCGAATTATCAAAAAAAAAACAAGTCAACTATATTTGTGTTAATGAAGACCCACGGTTATAAATTACAAATGTTAAAATACTATATAACTAGCTGTAATAAAGCTTAAAACAATTTGATATTGTAAAATAATTTTCAAATACATAAATTTCATATTGCATTACGTCGTGTGAAGTTATAATAACTTTTCCTAGTGATATACTGTTATATAGAAAACCGCAGATGTGTGAAAACTCAACCGAGCAGTAACGAGCGCAATTTGTAGACAACGCTTCCTGCCGAGAATAAAAGAGCAAAATACAAGTGTTGATTAATTCCCTTCGAGCATACTTTTAACAATTAAAGCTTCGGTTTATATTCTAAGCTTAATAGTTTTTTTTTTCTTTAATAAATGAGGGATATTCAATTCATATAATGCAATTTAATTGTGCTTATTATTACTACTACACTCAGTTATATAAAAAGCCCTCTAATCAATTTTTAATTTAAAAAAATACATTTATCAACTAATACAATGGAAACGCTCTTATGTTTTTTATAAAACTCGTAATTTATTGAAAATCACTTATTTCTGATGATCTGAAAGATTGGTATTCACTTACCGGAAAATAGACTGGCTATAGCAGCGATAACAAAACTAACAGCCACTCCCGGTCCGGCAAACCTGCTGGCCACCATCCCGGTAACCAGGTACATTCCGGTACCCACGCAAGATCCGACGCCAAGGGAGGTGAGATCCTGGGTGGTCAGGCATCTCTGCAACAAAGTAACTTATTAACAATCTGAACATGCTCGTCTATGGTACGTACACCGCTTATCCGAATGATAATTCGATTGTTTTTCCGCGGTCGTTGGAGACAGTGGTGGTCCAAGGAAATACAACAAAAAAATCGATATTGTTGTAGTTAATAATGAGTTATGATTAATTCTAACGCCATTTGCATCGGATACCGCCAAACGAACCGCTATTGTTGTTTTGTATCACGTCAAACAAGTGAATGCTGTCAGCATCAATGCGGTTATAATATAATACCACAGGCTTTAAATGCCTAAACATGTGTTTAGAAATACAATTTCATCTCTCTTTCTCTTTTTGAAAAACAAGAGTATAACAATATGTTTTTATAGGTGTTACATCAGTGGAAACACTAACGCGATGTGTTTATATGTGCGTTAGTATAAGTTTAATTAAAATGATGATCAAGAAAACTTAATTAAAGAATGGTAATAACAGGAAACTTCTTTTAAAAACATTCTTTTTCTTATTTTCAAAGATATAAAATGTTGAATCTAAGATCTGTAGAGACTTAATAATAAACAGTTTATGAAACTGTTTCTACGAAGTTTTATTTAAGTACTACTGAAATAAAAACTAGAGATGCTAAAAATGAAGCTTATTTCCAACAAAGTGTTCAGTAAACTGGGTCATCGCCGTGTGCCCTAGGTGAATTAACGTTTATACAGAATGTTAATAGAAGTGCGTTAACAATAAAAATACGTTCGCAAAACGTTTATCATCACACGAATAAAAAAACAATTATATTTCTTTATTACACATTTCTTTATTGTTGACATCTGTTGATAATCTTAAAATTTGAAAGCTTAGTTATCTATGATAAGGTTCCGGTGCCTTCCTTTGAATATCCCGGAACCATCGCAGTCGCGCGTGAGGTTGGCCACCGAGGGGATTTTAGTGAGTAAAAATCTCACATAACCCTGTCTTTCCCCCAACTGCAGGGTATCTTAGGAAGATTCCCCTCCCCCGCCCAATACCAAAAAAAAAAGAAAAGGTATCTCTGATAAGAGTCCGTGTTGGATATTCTAACCTAATTTTACCAAAGAAAATTCCGGAATAAAAAACACGAAAAACTCAAAGTTGATTTTTTCATATTTATATTAAATAAAACACTGTCTGGAAAATATATTGCAAGTTGAGGTAAAAAAAAAATGTTTATATCCAGGAGAGACCAAAATCATTAAATGCATTTTTCTTCTCCAATAAAATGTATTTTTATTTTTTTTTCATATTAAATAGCAAACTTACCGTTAAACGAATCCCTTGGTTTGCACCTGATTCCTCAGTGCTTCCGGGCTCGCTTGGATTGCGGGTCCGTATGAGTTTTATGAAGATGTTATGAACTCTAACACGGTACAACCCCCAATCAATCTCCCGAATACGCTGACGAAGACTGTAAATAAAATAAATCTTTACTATCAATATTTCTGATAAAAAGAATGAAAGCTTTTTAGCGACTGAGAGTACAAAAAATGCGTTATCAAATCAATTACGGTAATATACGAATACTAGTAGTGACTTTATGTACGTAAAGTTTTGAATGAAATTATGATCAAAAATTTGTGATAATTTAAATGATAGTTTTTAATATATTCACCTTAGCATGTTGAATATATTCGCCACTTTTGCGGTATTACCACCGAAACCTGTGAAGTAAAAAATAATTAGAATATCAAATAAAAACTTCTTATTTCTCGCTAAACAAACGCACATTTTTATTTAAAAAAAAGCAATAAAACGTTTTATACTAAAGCTTGTTGCATCATATGTACTAAAAAATAACCAATGTTGTATGAGACTCAGTTAATTTTGGAAACAAAGGTAGTATTCTTATTGACGATCTATTGACAGATCGATGATTGATTTCGAAGACTGCAGCGTAAAACAACGGTAAGGAGACGATTAGAGAGTGCTCTCAAACTCTTATGGCCATAGCGCCATTAGGAATAATACTATTATATTGTACAAGTTTTTTTTTATATAATTGTGCTAAATGGCGCCCGCGAATCCGCCCGGCCGGATTAAAAAATACATAGTAGCCGATTTTCAGACCCACTGAATATGCTCATCAAATTTCATAAAAATCGGTCAAGCCGTTTCAGAGGACTATGGTACCTATCATTGTATTACGAAGACTTGGCATAGAAGATTAGTATAAATTCTACAAAATGCTATTTTATTTTTTATTTAGACACAAAGTCTCAAAAATATCGCTTTCGAATAGTTAGAATTCTATTTAAAATTTAAATTTGAAAAATACTTTTCGATTGAAGGTAGTTTGCAAAAGCCGCGAGCCATTCTCCGAGCATGTGCGCAATGTAATTATGGAATTTTATGTCACTCCGTTGCTACAATTCTTTACTTTATGATTTAAAGACGAAAATATTAATTGTCATTATCTCCATGCTATGATGATGCTAAAAATACTTTTCGATTGAAGGTAGTTTGAAAAAGCCGCGAGCCATTCGTCCGAGCATGTGCGCAATGTAATTATGGAATTTTATGTCACTCCGTTGCTACAATTCTTTACTATGATTTAAGGACGAAAATATTAATTGTCATTATCTCCATGTTATGATGATGTTAAAAAATACTTTTCGATTGAAGGTAGTTTGAAAAAGCCGCGAGCCATTCGTCCGAGCATGTGCGCAATGTAATTATGGAATTTTATGTCACTCCGTTGCTACAACTCTTTACTATGTGATTAAAAGACGAAAATATTAATTGTCATTATCTCCATGCTATGATGATGTTAAAAAATACTTTTCGATTGAAGGTAGTTTGAAAAAGCCGCGAGCCATTCTCCGAGCATGTGCACAATGTATTTATGGAATTTTATGTCACTCTGTTGCTACAACTCTTTACTATGTGATTAAAAGACGAAAATATTAATTGTCATTATCTCCATGCTATGATGATGTTAAAAAATACTTTTCGATTGAAGGTAGTTTGAAAAAGCCGCGAGCCATTCGTCCGAGCATGTGCGCAATGTAATTATGGAATTTTATGTCACTCCGTTGCTACAATTCTTTACTATGATTTAAGGACGAAAATATTAATTGTCATTATCTCCATGCTATGATGATGTAAAAAATACTTTTCGATTGAAGGTAGTTTGAAAAAGCCGCGAGCCATTCGTCCGAGCATGTGCGCAATGTAATTATGGAATTTTATGTCACTCCGTTGCTACAACTCTTTACTATGTGATTAAAAGA